GTGTGTGTGTGTGTGTGGGGGGGGGGGGATCCTCAGTCGACGTAAACATCCAGGAAGAATTTAGTCTACAGCTCTCAAGGCCATGTAAGGGAGAGACAGATTCTGTACTCAGTTGTTTGGGAACAGAAGAAAATGTTTTGGGCCAGACAGACAATAACAATTTTCCATCAGCCTTTATTCCCGCTGGTACAACTCAATGTGGCGAATCCAATCAGACATCCAGTGTGGACAAATTCTGCCAAGCTGAGCTATCAGCTTCTCCAAAATCAATTCCATCTGGCCAGCAAAGTTCAGGAACCACAGCTGGCCCGGGACCCTCAGCAGAACTACTTGCAGACCAAGTCCAGCTTGCTCAAGGCAAAAGTCTGAGTGCTGAAAGAACGGCAATCCTTCATATTGGTCAGGCAGCCAGGAGATGAACAGCCACCGACACTGTTTTGTATAACACCCGGAGACCACCAAGCCAATCTGTAGAATCCAGTGATCGGAATCCAAATCCATATCCAGAACAGAGCAGAACAGAGGCCCCCCTTTGACATGTCCTCCCATGGAAGAAAAAAACTTTTTTCCAAAAATTTATTAAGAGACCATCTAACCAAATCCATAAAAATAAAAATATCCATAATTTCTGGTTTCGGATGAAAACGTAGAGGAGGCTCCAAGCAGCAAAGCAGGAAAGATAAGGGAGGGCAGGAGAGAGGGAAAAAGCGTTTTACTCCTCCAAGAGTGGAACCAAAAAAATGCTGGTGCTTGATTAACATTTTTCCTGACACATAATTTAAGTTGCTGGATGCAGAACATCATTTGAAGTTTTAAGCACCTATGCACAAACATACATGAATCACACAAAGCTGGACAGTGCTAATGAAACAAAAAAATGGTCTTGCACTTGCTGGTGTATCTCCCTCTAACTATTTCTTCAATAAATTGTATTTCCCTGTATTTTTTTTCTTTCCCTCTGCATCACATTCCAACCACTCAAATTCCATTTCAGCTATTGCATGGACAATGCTCAGAGGACTGAATGGTGCTGCATGAGTAATATATAATGAATAGGCAGCAGATAATATTGTCTGCCATCTAACATGATGAATTTTGAGTCATCYTAATGAGCAGCCCRTTTCTTGGCAGTAAATGCATACATAGCACAAAGCCTTTTTCTCTAATCCTTCACTCACAAATGCAGCTGTGCTAAATTGATTCTGCTGCTAACAATAGTTAAGCAGCAACAACAGGTATTACAGAACTAATGCACTGACATGACATTTAACAGTTAGCTGAAATTAAACTTTGACCAGCAGAAACAAAACAACAGCACAGTCAGGCACATTCTGTCAGGATGTTGGACAATARAACTTTGTACTTTTCATTATTTTTATTACTCATTAAATAAAAGCACAACTTTCCTTGAAGGAATGCATATCATTAGTTGCTTTTCATCTCAGAGTTTTCAACAAAAATTATGTTCACACTGCAGGCAAAGGTGACTCATATCTGATGTTTTTAATATAATGCCAGTCTGAACATGACAAATCAATTTTTTTCTAATACAACTCAGGCTTTTTTAGTARWTTGWGGTGTTRGTTATGGACAATCCATGATGAGCACAGYAGTCCAATAACAAAACACTKCTCGGGTTCAGATCTGGGGGGTGCGTTCCTCCRAACCACGCCTCTCCAGGTCTCACTGTCATTACCCACGTGAACATTGAAGTGCCCCAGCAGAACGAGGGAGTCCCCGTTAGGAGCGCTCTCCAGCACCCCCTCCAAGGTCTCRAGAAAGGGTGGGTAATCTTAACTGCTATTAGGCGCATAGGCACAAACAACAGTCAGGACACCCCCCATCCCCCCACCCCACTCGTAGGCGGAGGGAGTCTACCCTCTCATTCACCGGCGTGAACCCCAACGTACAGGCACCGAGATGGGGGGGGCAATAAGTATGCCCACTCCTGCTCAGTGCCTCTCAGCATGAGCAACTCCAGAGTGGAAGAGTGTTCAACCCCTCTTAAGGGGACTGGTTCCAGAGCCAGAGCGGTGTGTCGAAGTGAGTCCAACTAAATCTAGTGGAACCTCTCAGCCTTACACACCAGTTCAGTCTTCTTCCCCACCAGAGAGGTGACATTCCACGTCCCTAGAGCCAGCTTCTATAGCCAAGGATCAGACCGCCAAGGTCCCTGCCTTCGACCACTGCCCAACACACATTGCACCCGACCCCTACGGCCCCTCCCACAGGTGTTGAGCCCATGGGAAGGG